TTCGGGGTCCCCATTTCCAAAAGGGGGAACGTCTTAGGGGTGGTTTCCCACTCCACCTCTCCAATTCAGCGTTGAATCTCTTGACAGTGCGCGCAAAGAAACAGCGGCAGACCCCTCTTGAGAAGGCAGGGGGGAAATTACCAAAGGGGGGGGGGGGGGCACGGTAGTGTCGTGGCTAGACATGGGGTTGGGGTTGATACAAAGGAAAACAAAAACAAACCAAGACAGAACAAATCAAGATACACACACAAAAAAGGCAACACAAAAAATAACGGAATTGATGAGACACGTACCTTGAGGGTGAAGCTCTGGGCCACCGACAGCCCCTGCCACAAAGCCGACAGTCCCGCCCAGAAGATTCCGAACCACAGCCCCCCGCAGTAGCGGAAGTAGGTGGTGAAGAGGGCGAGCTTGGGCCGGCCCACGGCCCGCTTCTCTACCTCGATGATCTTCTTGCCGGAGTCTGCCGTTCTGGGGTCCTTCGTGTCCTGCGAAATCACGAAAACCGCTATATATAATCAGGTGATGTTTTGTCAACAAATGAATACGTCGAAGTATATTATTCGGATATTTTTCGGCGGTGGCATCTGGATGATGACCAAATGAAGGCGAAACCGATAGTCTGGTCGCAAGAACAAAAATCAGGCCTTGGCAACTACTCTGTATTCTTGAATCCGTGAAATCGAACGACATAAGGATTGCCCACTTTACATTTCGTCGGGTGTCGTGCGTGATGAGAAAAGCAATAGGGGCGAGGCGCTAAATAGGGCAGCAGTGCCTCGCTATATCTTGCCGCTTCCACGGCGATAATGCTGTACAAAGCCTACGAGGTAGAAAGCACTTCTGTTTTTTTTTACCACGAACGGAGGTGGAGAGTCGTCCCCTATTCGTGAACCTGGAGCAACGAAAACAAAAATGTGCAGAAAGCCAACAACTAAAGGCGTGCCAGCTGATCATCGCCAACATCCAGGCACCGACTTTGTACGTTCGATGCTGGCTAGCGGTTACCCTACTCAAGCATGGGAACAATTCCTAAAGTTCTACAGAGTTCACTTTGCAACAGTCAAGTCGGATTTGCAAGGGCAGCAACTTGAGGAATGGTTCCGATGCTGCAGTAGGGGCAACCACTCGCCAGGATCGAACGTACAACAGTCGGCACCTGGATGTTGGGCGATGATCAGCTGCCACGCCTTAACCGCCCTCTCTACGAACTTCACGTGCTTTCTCCTCCTTCAAAGCCGGAGATATCCGTATCAGTCTTTTGCCCAAACACAGGTCATAAAAAAAAACTTTTCAACAATCCTTCGACAACAACGAATACAACCACGATCACAACCAAAAAAAAAAAAAAAACGGAGGAAACAACTCGGCACACGACAGCAGCAACAAAAACACCCGCATGCGAATAAGGTACACGTTAACAGCAAGCCTGGCACAGACAGACCTTGTCATCGCCCCCCACGCTGGCGTCGCTGCTCTGTCGCACGAGCGTCGCCTTCGCACCGCTCGCCTCGATAACTTCCGTCAGACGGCCCTCTCCCTGTGCGGTAAGTTCCTAGTACACAAACATAGGAGAACGACACGATCAACAAAAAGAAGAGCTTGAATGCGTCTGGAAGTACAAGCTCGGGGAGGTAAGTTTCGGGCTTGCATGGACCGGACCATTCCTGAAGGGGGCGGTGGTTTATAATGCTAAAATATAAATATATACATATGGTAAGCATCACGGACCTCATGTCCGACATGTTTACCGCACCTGCGGAACCACAATGAACACAATGAACACAATGCACGCAACGTCAAGGGAGAAGTCCGCGCAAAGTTGGACCAGTACGTTCGAAGGCACTGAGCACGAGACTGGAACGGTTTTTGACGTGAACTCAACAGCAGCAACAACAAAAAGGACGACAGGAACGGTGTTCAATGTGAAATCACCTATTTAGAACAACGGAAGCAGCAGCAGCAGCAACAACAACCAAGACTGGAATGGCGTCTAATGTGAAAGTGAAATCACCAATAGCAACGACAACAACAACAGCAGCAGCAGCAGCAGCAGCAGCAGCAGCAGCAGCAGCAGCAGCAACACCGACAACGACAACACGCTCACCTCGTAGGTTCCCTGCTCCTTGATGGTGCCATCACCATCTAGAACGACGATCTTGTCGGCGTATGGTGCGGACATGTTGACCTGATGCGTCACCAGCACCACCGTCTTGAACTTCAACACCTGCAGCAGGCGTCGTTGTCGTGGGAGAGGCCGAGAGACGGGGGGGCGGCTGAGGGGGCCGACACGTGACACAAACCGGATATTGTATCACAATTCTTGGCCATGAGAGCAAGGCATTGATCGCAGCAGCAGCAGCAGCAAAAAAAACACAACACGACACATGAACGACAATCAGGACCGTCTAATCGCACCAAGACTATGGTGCCCCAGCTACCGTGCTCGCGCGAGCGGTCGCCAACCGCAAACGGGCGGCTTTGAAAGCACCTCGTCGAGAGCATTCCTTAGACCCACTTCGCGCGCCCTTTTCTCTTGACGCTGGCAACCGAGCTACGAAGGTCGGAAAAAAGCAGAGGCGCTACACCACTCGGCAACAACAACGACACATGGGCGACGACAATCCGACGCAAATGCGGCGAAACAACCCCGGACTAGACCTTGCGAATGCACTTGTCGAAGATGTGCTTGCCCACGTGGGCGTCGACGGCGCTTAGGACGTCGTCGAGCAGCACGATGTCCGAGTCCGCGTACACCGCCCGCGCAAGGCTGACCCGCTGCTGCTGCCCCCCCGAAAGGTTGACCCCCTTCTCTCCGATCTCGGTCTGGTCCCCGGAGTCAAGGATTTCCAAGTCCTGGCAGCGGCGGAAATCATTGTTCGTAAGCGTAGGGTGAAGACCATGCAGTGCTCACGGTTCTGAATGGAGGTGTCGGCGCCATGCCCTTCCTTCAACACCATTCCTGGCTGGTCCCTGGGCTCGAGGATTTCCAAGCACGGCGTTCCAGCCAAGGCTATTGTAACGGAGGCGATAGCGGATGATAGGGACTAACCCCTTCCAGTACCATCTGCGATCCCCAATAGTCGAGGATATACCAGTCGTTTTTCACAAATGGTATCATAGGGCTAACTGAGACCCCGCACGATCATTAACGCCGGTGGGGTTGAGAGGTGTTACCCCACCCTCCAATACGATCCGTCGGCCCCCACCCCTCCGAATCCTGGAACGGGTGAGTTCTCCACAAATTCCAATGGGAGTGAGTAAGCGGTCGTTCCAGCACACACGGGAAAAACCGCAAACACCGGATACTGTATCTGAACACAAGCCGCAAGGCATGGGAAAAAAGAACGGCAGGGGCATCAAGCGCGGCGGAGAGGAATCCCACAAGAAAAAAGAAAAAATAGGTCATCTATCTCACCGACTCGAGAGCGCACGCCTCAAGAACCATGTCGTAGCGCCGGGGATCGAACGCGCAGCCGAACAAGATGTTATCTCGCACCTGACAAGAAATCCGAAAATACAAACAGAAACCCCGAAAAAAAAAGGAGCAAAAAGTTGTTGTGAAAAAGGCCTCGGTAAAGAGGCTGCGGTGGACGAACGACTCTGTACAAGTAGCGATTCCATCTTGCGGGCACACAGACAAGAGGGCGAACGGTCACACGGTCACTTGCGGTACAACAAGAACACAAGAACACAAATAAAAGGCCACAGACCGGGGGGTGGTGGCCGGCAGAGTCTGCGAGTGTTGGGTGCGAAGGGGGGGAGACTAAGACAGGGTGAGACAGACAAGACAGACAGACGGACGGAAGGGCGAGAAAAAAAGACAAGGGACAGAGACAGAAAGAGACAGCAACAACAGCTCTCGTCCGGTGCGTAGACCTTGCCGGCCGAAGATATTCTACCCCGCTGTGGCATTTGGATCCACGGGGTACTGGGTTGTGGCGGCGACGGGCCGGAGAGACAAGAGCCAAGAAAAACAAAACGAAAGTTACTCTTCGTCTTCTCTACAGACCATTGTAAACGATCGTTGTTCGTGCTTAGCGGGGGGCAAGCAAGGCGCTCTCTCAGTTGCACCGCAGGTTCGAGCGAGGCACTCGTAATGGTTGCACCGCACTATTTTGGGAGGGTCAAACCAGTAGTTGCACCGCGTTTGTCTTATGGTTGCACCGCATTAGCGAAAGCGTGGCCTACCGTCGCGTTCTGGATCCACGCCCGCTGGCTCGCGTACGACACGGAGCCGTTCATGAGGCTCCTGCCCTCCACCGTCACAAGCTCCTGGAGGCAGGCCATTAGCAGGGAGCTCTTGCCCGCGCCGGTAGCGCCGTACACGCAAACCTTTTTAACATTCGAAAGAGAATACGCAGACGTTACGAGGATGGCCGGGGGAAAGGGGGCGTCACGAGAGCACAGCAGATTCACCAACGGGTTACGCAAGATGGACAAGAACGTTCGAACACAGACGGTCCGCTGTGACGTTGTTCCCAAGCTCGAACAGCCCAGCGAGTAGCACCGAACCAAACCAAAAACCAAAAGCAAACAACAAAAAAGTACAAAACAAATGAGAACAGTCAACCTCAAAAAATCAATACACTCCGCATAGTAGCTCCCTCAAGCATGTAGCTTCGCCGCCTCTCACCAGCTGCTTGGGCTTGATCTCAAGGTTGATGTTGGAGAGCGTGGGGCGAGAGAGCGCCAGAGACTGTCTCCACCGGAACGATCCTATTGGCCAGGGTTTGCCGAGGGCATTGGAGTCGGGGTGTAGGGTTTCAGGATGATCAAATTTGCTGTCGGAGACGGAACAAACTGACATTTGTCGCAACCGAAAGAATTGTAAACGCATCACTGTTGGAATAGCGTTCGCGTGCCCCCCCCCCCCCCCCCCCCCCCCCCCC